CGCATCAAAATTTATGTTCAGTGCTAATAAATCAATGTACCTGCATAAACATAATCCTTAAAAGTAACCCTCACATTATGTACTTTTGTATGTACAATATGATAGTTACTTTTCTGAATAAAATCTATGTTATAACATAAATTAGAGAAATTGCACAGTTTAGGCACTAACAATATTAAAATGTCCATACAGTATGTATGAATGGCTCAAAAACCAGAGGTCATAAGCGATTTAAATATACAAGTCAAGAGGATAAAGGTTTGCTTCAACTCGTAATTATAGTGTGTATATATTTACAAAGCTTATGTTTAAAGAAAAAAATCGAAGATAGATAATGTCATATGAAAATACTAAAAAAAATTAGCATATATCACTCAAGATATTTTATAAAATGGCAATTGTAAAGTCTAGGTCGCATTACTCGGCTTTTGAGTCGTTCTTACACATATAATTCTTGAACAAGAAGATGGCGCATAAGTGTGTTGTTAACAAAGCAAGAGGAAATATATTTGAAGTGAATATAAATTAATATAATGTTATAAATTGTCTATAATACAAAGATTAAAGGTACACGATATTAGCATTAGTAAGATAGAATTAAAATTTCAACTCCAATGAACTATGGATCTACCAACATCAATAATATATATTCTTAAATGCTAAGTTTTTAGTTGCATTTAAAAACATAAGCTCAATTTATTTTCAGGTTGAGCATAATTAAAATAAAGATTCATATTTTTCTACAATTACACGTTAATCATGAAATCCGTGGACGTTTTAGCAATGCTTTAGAATAACTGATTATCAATAGAATTCCTATAGAGGCAGTATATTTATGCAACAGGTGTAGTTTACATTTTGAAGCAAAGAAATATTAGAGACATTACGCTATGCTTCAAACCTGTAAAATCAAATTAAGGTACTGTTCTTCTCTAAGCACTAATATATTATAATAATACACATATACAATAAAAAACAAACTTATTGATTTGAAATTGTCAAAGATCACCCTCAAATCGCTGTTACTAGAACTTCAAAGATCACACGGTTTGTCAACAGTGTTTTAGAATATTACTTTTATTTTCATAACAAATTAGGAGATTATATGACTACAAATCCCTATCCCCTTTCTCTTCACTATAACAATACTGAAAATGAAGTAATCTTTGAAGTCCTAATCAATATGAATACATTTTATATACACATAAAAGAAAAAGTCATTTGTAACTATTTCCTTGTATTACATTATAGAATTTTATAAATGAAATATTTTCTAATAAATTGAGATCGCCTATGAAGGCATTAAAATTCATTACATACAATTTAATGAGCAATTGTATCTAATTTTGGAAACCCGCTTAAAATCAATACTGCTCCCTTTCGAAATATGTACCGTCTACTATTTATTAAATCCTCTTCTCCAGGATTGATCAGAAAAAAGTGTCACACTTGATATGACATTCATTTTTATGTCTTACATATCAATGGCTTAATTCATTCTAATTAAATTCTCACTAATCTAATATTTTACAAGCAACCTTGCATCCGGAATTAAACATCTATCATTCAATTAATTATTTATATATAACATGTAATAATGCAACATTTCTCGTCATAAAAAATCGTAAGCCTTAGTCGTAATTCGAACAAGGTCATTTGTAATTACAAAATGGATAATTTTCGTCACTGAAATGTTAGTAAACCTGTTCCTAATATAAAAACTATCTATATTTAAATCTTATTTTCAGAGCACACAATTTAAATAATGTAATTTTCCTTTAATATTCTTATAAATGTAATGAATATTCAGACCGAAATATACAAATTTTTAAATTGATGAAACGTTTTCACACTTTTTGCGTCTTTATATGAAGGAACAGATTTCTTAACTACTTTCATAAAGAGGGTTTGTGTTCATACTTTAAGAGCAGCTTTGGGAGACCAATGATGGAAACGGGTAGGTCCTGTTGGATAGGAGGGTGGATGGATCCATTTGTTTCCTCTATGACTCATAAAAGGAGGCGGAGATGGACCACCCAAAAAGTGAGGGGGCATAATGTTATACCATTGTTGACTTATTGGGTGAGGACCATATCCCATACTAAATGAGTGGCCGAACCAGGAACGATTTCTATTAAGATGTAGTCTGGGGCTATTCAAATTGCGTCTCCTACCTGTACCATTATTGCTATGCTGTTGGTTTTGATTAGCAGAACTTAGTGGTTTTGATTTTTGTTGTTGTTCTGTGTTAGTGCTCAAGGGGGATTTCTGTAGAGAAACGGAACATTTTATTACTTTTTTGATGTCTTAAGTTTTGTTAGATCATTTGAATTATATAAAAATTGAGTACACTATTCAACAAATCTAACTTCTTTGGAACTTTCATTTTCATTAAATGTTTCCCATAGATCTTTGGTGCATTGAATAGAAATATTCGTTTCCCTCATAAATAATTTCATATAAATGTTATGGCATATATTGAACAGTGTTATTTTATACAAAAAGATATACTATGTGATTATTGATATTCACCTGTATCTTAGTCTGTCCCTCAGACTGTTTATTCTCTTTCTCTAATCCTTCATTGCTTCTTTGAAAAATTGGTACAGTATTTTCTTTATCATCGAACGAAGCCAGTGTGCAATAGGAGCCTTTACTTTCTCCAAATCGGCAGCAAACTTCGTTAGGATCAACCCAAAGAGTCAATTCAACCGGTAAAGACAAATCTTCATATTTAACACCAGCAGCATTAGCAGCACTTTCTAAAGTTGCATCTCTCCGATTATGACCATTCACGCGAATACAACGGTAGCCTTGACCTTTAAATGGCTTGTCTGGAAACCAATGATTTTTAAAACGTTCCGTCAGTAATTCGACCAAACGTCGCTTGAAACATTCCAATTGATCAGGACTAAATTTTTCGTTTTTTTCTATCAGCTGTACTAAGAACAGTACTGCCGCAGTAATTTCGTTGCGCATGTTGTCTTTGCCGTATACCAAACTTATAATTTTCAGATGAATTCTTCCTTTGATGCCTTGACACAAGATTTTTGAAAACTAAAGTACCATTTGCTGAAACTGATATGGAGCACATAGAGCCCTTCTGCACCACAGCAATACTCAAATTTTTTGCGATCTATGATGTTTTTTATTTTGCAAAACAATACGTGTTATGCTATATCTTTTTTGTCTTTGGTATATAGTATTTGTATCAATTGTCGTTATTACTCTCTTCTGAAACAGAGGAGAAAAAACTATTAATAAATCAGTCTTTTCATTATCAAATATTTGTAACGATAATTCCAACATTTTTAAACTCCGCAATAATAATAAAATAATCTACAAATAAAACTGTTGACTCCGAAAAAACATTCTGATTACAATCTTAGATCTGCATCTATCTAATCTATCCACATCTGTATCCATAAATACCTTGTTTATTTGTTTCTCAATGCTTATACTGATGTAAATATCCAAATAAGCAAATTTCAAAAGTTTTATGCATACAAAATTTGTGGAATTATATTATTAATATGTACGGACACACACAAAATGATTGATTTCATTTGATAATGGAACTAGATAACAATATGTTATAGGCATTAATTAGGTTATAAACCATAATAACGCAGGTTAGGTAAATCGTGTTGAGATGCAAGACTGATAGCTAACAACACAATCGATACGATCAGTAATCAGAAACAAAGCAAACGGCACCATTACAATGTGAATTAAATATTTAGAAACGTATGCATTGAAATAATGAGCACAACGAATTATGCCAGCTCATTCTTGTCGTACCAGGTCGTGCCGTGAGCGATTGTTCCTGAAATACCACAATTTGGTCTTCTGGTAATTATTTATTTATCGTTATATTTCACTTCCTTCAAAACTGTGCACTCGTTTGATATACCGACAAATTTAATACTAATATTAAATTGACCTTACGAATCAATGACGAAAATTCCGTGTTTCTGGTGAAACTACTACGTCTTCTCTCTCTTTAAATAAACGTACTCGACCCAACACGTGTTACGTTGCATCAATGTCCATGAAGTATGTAGAAAAATATAGACCTTCAACAGTAAACTACAACTAGCTACATACATAACATGCAACTACAAGTTGCTTGTACAAGGGTTACATTCCATATACTGTTTATATGCATGTAACTGATTAAAGTTACTAATAAATAAAATTATATCAATTATTCCGAAGTATTCCTAACTCAATCAAACTTTATGTTTTATTAAAGTTTGGAAATACAATGGGCTCCCATGCGTTTTTATGTCATAAATAACGAAATGTTTGTAGTTAACCTGTAACACGTGTTGCTAATGTTTACAACTTGCAGATAATATTTTTGGACAACTTTGAGATTGTAATAAATAATTTAATTATTACGCATAATCAACATGAGTAAAATTTCCCCGAATATTTTAATAACAGGTAAATACTTCCATGAATTACATGTCTTTTAATATATCAAACCAATAGCTAACATTTTGTAATTTATATGTTGCAAGTTAATGATACCAAGTTATCAATTTTTCGTACATTAGGTACTCCAGGAGTTGGAAAAAGTTTAATGTGCCGTCTTCTATCGGAAAGGACAGGATTAACCTGGATTGATGTTAGTAAATTTGCCATTGAAAACAAATGTTCAGAAGAGTATGATGAAGTGTATCAATGTCCTATTTTAGATGAAGATAAGGTGATTTTTTAATAAGCCAGTTTGCAAATTTCTGTTAATGTTCAAATAACATATTTTTCAATTACAGTTATTAGATCACATGGAAGAACTTATGTGTAAAGGCGGAGTAATTGTTGATTACCATGGAGCTGATTTCTTCCCAGAAAGATGGTTCGATATTGTTTTTGTATTAAGAACTGATAATACAATACTATATGACCGTTTGAAGGAACGAGGCTACACAGGAAAAAAATTGGAAGATAACATAGATTGTGAAATCTTTCAAACGATACTTGAGGAAGCTAAATCAGCTTATGAAGAAGGAATGGTACATGAGTTAATGAGTAATAATATGAATGAAGTCACAAGTAATATAGATAGGATTTGTCAATGGATAGTACAATGGAAAATAGACAATGAACCATAATCTACCATATTGTAAAAAATTAACAATGCATTAACTTTGTAAGTAAAGAACTAATATGTCTCATTGTAATTCTTATATTGACTACTTATTTATACATTAAAATGAATGTATAATAATGTCACAAATAATATGTATATCATTAGGGCAAATTTATTATTACTCTACTATGCCTAAATCGTGTTTCAGTTTTTTAAATCTGTTATTAATACTATCATAGTATTTCATTCGTATAAGATGAGCTTTTG